ACATTTTGGAGCTCTGATCCTTCCCCCCCCCACCCCCCATCCCCACCCCCCTTTAATCCTATTCAAGGCCTGAAGTTTAGAAGTGGAAAGATAGGAGCCAACTTCATTGCTTGTGCGTTATCCTCTGCATAGCCCAAGTTGGGGTATGAAGTAATGTCGTGCTTAGGGAAATGACCTCATTCTCACAGCGGATGTGAGACTTTAGCTTTCCACCTGTCTCCTCCCAGATGGCCCTTCTGTATGATCCAATGGTGAGCTCCACTGTAGATATGTCCTATAAAGCCTTTTGACCTCCTGCTATTTCCATTTCTCTCATTCTGACTCTTGGGTCACTGTTTGTACCAGAATGACACTCTTCCTAGGGTGACCATATTCTCGGAACTAGCCATTTGCTTCAGAAACCATCTTTCCTCCCACGCCTGTCAACCAAGGCACCATCACATTAAGTTGTCTTAATGCCATGACTAATTCTTAGCATGGTTGAGACCTTTAGAGTAATTCATGTTTTAAGGTTGACATAGGAGACTATTTCAGCGAGGGGAAGGGGGCACTCTGCTGGTGCTTTACCAGGCACCTGATGTGGGACAGCTGGGAAACACATTCAAAGTGCAACTTCTTTTTTCATATGAATTGAACCTGAAATGTATTCGTAGAAAACAAGAAGACAAAAAAAATTTTGACTGATGGTTGAATATTTCCCAATAATTAATCAGCATATGAGGAAAATTTGTCCTTTTTCTCCTTTTTCAAAGCTGTAGCTGTTTTGAGAAAAATCCTTCAGCTTTTTTTTTTTTTTTTTTTTTGTTCTTGTAGCCTGCTAACAGTTACGGAAGATCCAATTTTCATGGCACATGGAACACAGAAAGAAGAGCAGAAGAATCATCACTTGGGCAGACGGAGGAGATTTACGTCAACTGCAAAAATGTCTCACACAAATCTAAGAAATGACTGTTCGATTCCTTCTTAAGAGTGAAATAACCAAAGCGCAGGCCTTATATTTGCAGCTTAGACTTGATTTTCTTTGCGCTGGCGAGACGTGGAAGGTCAAACTGGCTGTGCTGAGCACTGCGTGGGCTGCGTTGGCCGGACAGCCAGCCTGGGCCAGGTCACACCAGCTGTGTCTGTGTTGTGTTGCAGCCTGCAGCATCAGCGTATCCTTTGATTCATACGTAGAATTAAAGATTATTTGTGCTTCTGCAATTTAAACATTTTTACCCAGTAGCTGTACTCTTAAGTAAGAATTTTAGAACCGCTTTGATATGCAGAATGGAGCTGCACATGTTTACATAAAGTTAATTTGGTCTGAGAAATCTACGTGTCTAAGAAGCCTATGTGACAGGGTGAGAAAGAAAATGTGCTCAATGTTGTCCACATCTGTGATTTTTACATCTCAAATTGAGAGCTCTATAGAATAATAAATATCCATGATTTTCCGCACAGGAGGTGTTATTTTGCTGCTGGGCAAACAGTACTATTCAGCTGACAAAAGCAAATATATCAGGGATCCTTGAACCTAGATTTCAAAGTACGAAGAGAAGCTTGCTATCTGACAGCTGTGTGGTTTTACGTTCACCACGGTTATTTCAGCACTTTCTATTTGGGAATGGAATAGAACTGTATTCTATTCTGCTCTTCTCCCTCCCTCCCTCCTTCCCCCCAAACCCTCCCCTCATGCCCAGGAGAAAGCAAAACATGAAGACTCTGTCACTGTCAGGTTATATTTAATAATAATTTATTATGAGGTTTAGTTGCACAAAAAATAAATGAGAACATGGAAGATACGTGAATAAATGATGCAAGCAGAAAAAAGCGTGATTGAGAACATTTACAAAACAATACACATACATATGTAGTTGTATGTGTGCATATTCTGCTGAAACCTACAGAAGAAACCACACAGAAATTGAACAAACAGACAAAAAAAAAAAAAATCCCTAAACAGAACTAGAAGGCAGACCTGAGAATTAGGATCTACACATCTTTTGGCCTTTTACACATCTGCTGTATTACTGAAGACGAAATCCCAGTAGATGAAGGCGTTACCATGACAGCTGATAATCATATATGTCTGCATACTACAAACTGTGTGCCTGACCCACCTATGCTTGATTCCCCTTTTCTCTTGAAGCGTTACTAAAAGTGTTGCTGAATAAGTTTTGGGGGTTTTTTTTGGTTTTTTTTTTTTTGAAAGGGGTTGGTGGGGAGGCATCATGAATCTGCCTACAGATCAGTTACTGGTTCCACTTGGCTGGCTGGCAGGGAGCATCAACAGCCTGACAGGGAGCAATACATTTTGTGTAGCCTTCTCCAATGGAAAGCTTTCTTCACGTGCACAGAAAAATAGGAGCCTGGGTTCTTCTGAGAATAACACTGACACAAGGTTTCTCTGAACTATTTGAGC